AATGAGTGATGGAGTCTTTGATGGAATCGTCCCTATAGTTCACAGAACCTTTCTATTGAGTTATTTTAGAGGTTGCTGGCTCTTGGATTTTTCTTGTGCTCAAAGTATGTGGACATATAATGAAGCGGCTATCAAGTTGGCGGCGGCCGTTTTTGGTAAATGATTACAAGAGCATCAGGCCATGAGTTTCGTGACCAAACTAAACTCCTGGCGAAGGAAACATTATAAAATTCGGCTAGATTCCTCCTCGTATTTATCTGGATTCACGGCAAAGATAAACACGACCGTTTGCTCATCCAGATTATTCTCAACGGACTTAGAGAGGCACCTTAGTACGAGTTAGTTCCTGTAAATGCCATGTTTTTGAACTGTTTGTGTTCGAGCATATTTTTGGAAAATAGCAGACTTTACTTTCCCTTTTTATCAACGGACTGCTTATAGTGGAGTAGTATACCAATGATGTGTTTTTCTCGACGTTGCAGTGATTCGGCACGATCGAACAATTTTGCGCCATAATGTATGTTTCCCTAAGATCAAAACAAAAACTTGATGTCTCTTGTTCTATCAGCATCTAAATTATAAAATCACTAGCGACAGACAAGTCTAATTGTTAATCATTTGAAACAATGTTGGTCTTTACCCTCGGTCTAGCGTCTTTTGTAGCTCGTTTGTAAAATACAACTTCGATTTATTTTGTTGAATAAGACAATATGTTGTTGTTGAATTTTTGTTTGCGCACTATTTTATGAATGGCATGCGTTTTTACTCCAAAACTACAAGTAAAATTGTCGTCACAATTTTATTCTTGATCTAGCATAACCAGAGAAGAAACGGTCCGTAAATTCTATCGAAATATCCCTTATCTAAACCCATTTCGCTTGTTAACCTCTCTAAATTCGGAGCCTTCGACGTGACAGAGAACACGGAGAAAGTCACACGTTAAAAACAATAGAATTTTGACAGTTGAAAGTAATTTGCATAACCTCAGAGCGCACATGGAGAAAGTCATGCGTTAAAAACAATAGAATTTTGACAGTTGAAAGTGATTTGCATAACCTCAGAGCGCATGCTCTCCAGCTGACATAGCCTCTTTAAGAGCGAGACATTGGCAATGTTACGCTTTGATGACCCTATACAAATCCTTCTAAAATTGACTTGAGTCATAAGGTTGACGCAAGTCAAATTTTAAGGGACTTGTATGGAGCCATCAAAGCATGACAGAGCTAATATCTCAAAGCCAATTTTCCCTGACATGGTAATTTTTGGAAGGGAAGCAGTTCTAGTCTTGGTCTCACTGAAGATCTAAACGAATCCCATAACTTCAAAATAGAAATATTCGTGACGTCCCACTTTGGTTCCAGAAAAAGGAATTTTTTTTTAGACCCTGACTAATATTTTCCCGCCTATGATATCAATCCCAACATGAAATTTTGCATTATATTCAAGCATCTGTAACAGAAGTGCGGGAGGATGACCGGAAGAATGAAGGTGCACTGGGCAAAGCGAGAGGCCTCATCAATGAGGATGAACCGGGCAAAGGAGAATATCATGACAAGAAGGGAGGAACTGAGGAAGATGAAGAAGGCGAAAGTGACAAGGAGGAAAGCGAGGAGGAGGAAGAGGTGGAAAGTGGAGAGGACGAGGAGAATGAAAATGAACTTGGCGTAGGGAACTCACCCAGTGGAGAAAATGGCGAAGGGGAAAGTGATAGCAACAACGAGGAAAATGACGGTATGTTCAGGTTTAGAATGGCAATAACTACAACCTTTGAGATACTTAAAGGGATTTCGCAAATCCACTCGCCCAGAACCTTCATTCATTCATTTAGTCGTTCATTCACCAGTTATTTAAAATGCTGATTACCGGCGTCTGACGTGAATTCATTTATTCCTTTCCCTTTTCTTTGGTGTTTAAAAAAGAAAAATGTCTCCATAAAAGCAAATATCAAATTCAGATTCGAAGGCGATATCACGCTAAATTGCTATTTTTCCTTCCTCTTCAGAAAATTCTCCGAAGACAATTGGAAAAAGAAAAAAAGGTAAGATATTTTTGTGCATTTAATAAATACGGGATTTAAAATCATTTTTAATATTAGCAGAGCGCGCCTTTGGTGGTTACTGTGAATCTGAAGATTGGTAAAGTACAAGACCCGGCTATATTGTCCCCCATTGTCTTACTCCACCCAGGGTTAGGTTGTTGAAACGTTGGATAATAATATAATGTCCATGGGATAAACTCCTATCTGGTGCATGAGTATTAGGCAAAACATTAACGTCACTCAGTGGATAACCTGATTTATAAAGATAATGCAGTTTGTTTTCCTGAAAACATTTTGCATCAATATTGTTTTCAGTTTCTCTTACAAGCGTCCCTTGAGAATATGAAAACAATACATGTGCAAACTTTTGTGGAGGCAAGTAAGTGCATTAAGGGGGAAGGGAAGGGAAGGGAAGGGAAGGGAGGGGTTAAATGCGTAAATATAGGGACACTCATTTCAAGTTTTCCAGGTGCAGCTGCTAACAATAAAGAATTTTTAGTATACGTCTATCATTTTTTACATGTACTTTTAATATGACACAACTTCTCGCCATATTGTCTTTATTTAGTTTCTCTTCTTTAAGGGGGCAAAGCAGAGGCGTAAAAGTTACAAGATGGCCGTAGTTACATGTACCGTGTTCAAGACTCCACAAAAAAGAGAAAGACAAAAACATAATAAGGTAATTTGTGTAAGACAATGTACGCCCTTTACTTTTTTTTATAAGCCCCTGTGATTTTGGGGCCAAGGCATAACTTTCTGCTTTTTTGGGGGGGCGATTTGAGCCTGATAACGTTGTTTACATGATCTTAAGTACAGACTGATTTCGACAACAAACCGAATTGGCCACTCCAGAAAATACCATAACATACCATAATGCTTTTTGATTGTCGCCCCAAAGTTTTGCATAAGCATTGTCTTTAGTTTCTCTTGGGAGTTAAAATGGCCCCAAGAGAAACTGAAAACAATGCTTATGCAAAATTTTGGGGTGACAAACAAAGAACATTATGGTATGTTATGGTATTTCTGGAGTGGTCAATTGTTCTTCAGTGTATCACATTGTTAATGTTAAAAATTCCCTTATGTATTTTAGTCCATTTTTCCGTTAGACTACAGTTTTGCACTTCTTTTACCTTTATTTATACTACCAACAAATATAAGCCGTTCTGAACTGACTCTCAGCCTGGGTATGTTCTTAGTATGTTCCTAAAACTTTTGCTTACTTTCAGCCTGACCGTTCTGATAAAACAGCCTCAGAACAAAAAGGTAATTCCTTCCTTTCAATAGACAGGGAAACGTATGACTCTAGATTATGCGATGTTCCTTTATGAGAAGACTAGAATGTCTTTACATTTGTAGATGTCGAAACAAAGGCAGCATATTCTCCTCAGTTATTTTAATACCCTAAGTGTTTGTCCAGGCAGTGTTTGAGCCCTCGACCTCCTGCTTGGCAATCCAGTGCTTATAACTGACAGGGCAGTGGTTACTTGCCTCCTACCGTGTGGCCCGGGTACAACTCCCGGCGTCGAAGCCATGTGAGTTCAATTTGTCATTTCCTCTCCTTCCTCTGGGAGGTTTTTCAATCTGGAATGGTGAAGGGAGAAGCAGTCTGTGCTTGTGCCATGTGAAAATCGCTTTAATGAATTAAATATCAAGTTAATAAATGAAACCATAACCTCAAAAGAATAGAAATACCTCCTTTTTTTTTTACAGCTGAGAGAAAAAAGGATGGAAGCTCAAGACTGCAAGATGAAGGATCTAATTGCTGTATTATTTGATTTCAAATTGGACCTTTTCAGAGGGGGCATAAGGGGGGTACGAATACTGCAATACCGCACGTGGTAGCGCGAGAATACCACAATACCGCATCACGATTTACCCAAATACCGAAACAGCAGGTACAAATAAGAAATAGTTGTCATTGCCAATACTAAAAAATCCTCCTTTCAAATAGAAATAATACTTTTATGTCAGTGTTTCAAAATCAAGGTGCGTCGATGTGAAGTGTGCAATTAACATAAGATCATTGCACTCAGTGGGTGTGAGCCAGGAGACTGGGACGGGAGCTGCTTTGCCGCTCACTCATGCTCCCAACAAAACCACGAAAAACTGCTATGCTACGCAGGCTAAGCACACATGAATACTAGTAGATTCTATATTCCTACATGCATGACGAGAAGGACGAGTGGTAACTTTTAGACTACACCATCTTCATAGTCTTTCGACACTACGCAGTTTATAGCGACCTCACTGACCTCACTATTTGCTGGAATATCTGACTGATCACTTAGTTGACCTGGATCGCTC